CAACGACACTGCGTTCAAAATACTGTAGGCTGATCACTGTATCACTAATCTCTATCATAGACTAACGTTTATATATATATATACATATATATATAATGTTATATTTAGAGTCAGTATATAGAGATCAATGAGCTGTATATAATAATTGGAGGGCGAATGCATTGTATAGTACCGCATCGTAGACTAACAATTTATTTATTGCGTATCCGGTAACAGATTGAAGTACTGATGGTATGCTGCGTGGCGTGTCTTCATATATTGTCGTGTCTATGGCAATGATTAAAATCATGCTAAAAATTAGTCATGAAATAGTGTAATTATGGGTATATAAATGAATAAATACATAGTATATATATTACACATATAATAGCAAATGTTGTAACGAATAATATATAATATATATTTGTTTATAGATACATCGTTATTTATATAACGTTGTACATCAGTATCAACGTTTAGATCCCAGTTAGCACAAAAACGTTATTTATAACGTTGTGTTATGGTTAAGATACACACAGACGCACACACGCACACACACGCACGCGCGCAAGCACACGCGCACGCGTGCAAGCACACGCGCACGCGCGCAAGCACACGCGCGCACAAGCACACACACACGCGCGCACAAGCACGCGGGCACAAGCACACACACACGCGCGCACAAGCACACGCGCACGCGCAAGCACACACACGCGCGCACAAGCACACACACGCGCGCACAAGCACACACGCACAAGCACACGCGCACGCAAGCACACGCGCGCACAAGCACACGCGCGCGCACGCACACACGAACGCACGACACATCTCAGTATTACGTATTACCTAATATAAAGTAGTAGGCCCCCCCTATAGCATCATAGAATCATGTGTAGAATCATAGATCGGTTTTACATATCAAACACCATTTCTAATGTAAATAATAAGCAAAAAAACTATTGATTGATTCACTCCTGATGATTATTATGTAAACATTAGCCAACGTGATATGATTTTACCACATATTATTAGGAAGGTAGATAAATGGCTGTTACGATATTAGTCATTCAAACACTATCACTTTCGTAAATTAACCTTTATTACTTCACACATTATGTAACACGTTTTCCAATTTATTATAACACAACATAAAAGTTTAACCTAATGCTTAAGCAAAACATGTCTATTCATCTATTAAGTGCAAAAATTAAGCTGCAGTGACTTCATTTTTATTCAAAATAATTCTAAACATAACACCGATACCTTCAGCAGAGGTAAAACATCTCGAGAGTGTCATCATACGATAAACCTTGCACTTGCTACTACGCCATAGGCACGACCTCAAGATATGTAAAACCACTCAGTGCACTATGAATATTTTATAACGTAAAACACGCAATTCCACACGTTTACTATAGCAGTGATGATAAAGTAGTAACTAGTTCGTGGTGGCAACTCTTTTCAGTATCAGCCCCTTATAGCACAGGTACATTAGTTCTTGACAAACTAGGTTACTAAAAGACAAAACTTGTTAAATCTTTTAAAAATGTGGATTAATTTAAAATAAGTGCCAAATTCTAATTCAGCAGATAATTATGCGACACTACGCCAGTTATATTGGTATGCATTGAGTAGCTTAAAAGACAAGTTATAAGGAGACCATACTATTCAACATAGAAGCTCAGTGCGTTTGGATTCATTGCATCCCCTGAAGCAGCATCAAGAAATGCGAAACTTAAAATGATTGTAATAGCGACTGCTGCTGCACACTTCAAATAAATCCCTTCTCCGTAAGTTTTATTGTGGAATAATTAAATACCTAGAATGTCGTATTTATGGAGAGCTTGCATTAACACCCGATTGCGGTGGAAATAGTAAATGCCTTCTACTCTATCACACATACATGCACACAAGCATGAACAGCACACAGCACGGAGACATGTACACTGACTTTGAACTCATAGTCAGCAATCAATTGCTTCCTATAGTCAGTCATGCTACACCCTAAAATCAATGCTAATTTTTACATCTTACCTACTCTCTGTGTCGCTCTTTAACGCCTGCACACACACACACACACCCACACACGAGCATGCATGTACGTACACATGCATGTACGCACGCACACACACACATACGCGCGCGCACGCACGCACACACACACACACACGCACGCACGCACACACACACACCACGGATGCACGCATACACTAGGGACACGCGCAGCAACCCACGCAAACAAACAAATACAATATAAACTTCAGCAGAATGTGTGTTAGATATATTTTACATCTTTTTACAAAGATCCTTTACTGGAACTTGCCATAAAACAAAAAAGCACAAACGAATGACTGGGCTGTTTCCTGATCGCACCAGCAACACAAGGTCAAGCTGCTTGGTGGACCGGCTAGGCTCCATATACGCTCTCATCACTGTAGGCAATGTAGAGGAAAAAATCTTCTTCGTGATGTTCCTGAAACCACAAATAGCTGCTACAGCATAGGCGACAATGCCAACATTCTCTACCATCTATCACATGTTGAGAGAATAGTGTTTTAAAATGTGTTGGGATCCCATATAAGGCACATGGGGCAAACCTGACAAATAAGCCTGCTTGGCTAATAGTTACCAATACTGACTAAGCATATTTTCTTTTCATGTGGGTGTAAGATAGTTACACTAATGGCTCAAACCATGGCACACATTGAAAATTTCCACTACACTACATCACTACAATAACTTGATCGTGAGAATAAAGATGACAACAACTAGTAATTAGCTCAAATAAATGGGCAACCATTGAAGTAATTGCTAATGAGCTAATCTTGATAAACCCTATGTAAATGAAGTACATGTATGCTAAATGTCACGTTTTTATTACATCTAATTCCCACACGTTTTCATGAGGACATTCTTGACAAATCATGTTAAACAGGCTATTTGCACACACGCCTCAGGCAAGGTAAGCCACTCAGTTTACATTAAGTGTCCTAGATACATGTCTTAATTACTAGTCACCATCTTCACTAGTCACATTGCTCGTGTATTTACTGCAGCGATTGTGAAATTTACAGCCAGTACTTGCAACATGTGACCACAATGAGTAATTGGGTGCAACAGCAGCTGTTCTACTTCCGACTCATTGACTATGCGCCGTTCTTTTAAGAAATGTGCCGTATTTTTATGGCCAAAATATCATCGAAAGCCCACAATGAAAATTTAAGCACACGTAGCATCAGACGAAATTGCTGAAACGAACAGAAATGCATACAAGCAGCTGAGCGCGCATAACAGCCCGTTATAAGTCTCGTTACAAACCTGATAAAGCTGGCCCATCGTGGCGCTGGTTGGGGGAATCACATTGTTGACAAAGAAGAACAGGGCGTCTTCAGCACGCAGCTGTATACGCTTGCGAATGAGGAAGTAAAACTGTCCGACAGTCAAATCAGATGGCACCAGGTACTTCTTCTTGTCAAGATCACCAATTCGAGCTTTAGGTGCCTTTTCCACGATAACCTGCCATGAGAAATCAATCTGTTAAACCACAAGAAGATTGCTTGAAGCAGCCTCTCTGAATATGAAAAACTACTACAGTGTCAAGACTCAAACATGAGCTAAAACATCACTGCCAATGTACCATCTACTATCTTAATTAATAAGATATTCTTTAACTCCTATCTCCTACCAATTAATTGGATTCGCCATATCATGTTTGACAATATCTACTGATCCAAAATTCATTACTTTATTAGATGCTAACAGTAATGATACATTACAAGTATCTTAGAAAAATTGAGAATGTTAGCATAAGGAGTGCACCGGAATTCCAATTATCTAGAGTTCCGGTCCTGGTCTAAAATATTTCTAAATAGTTGGCCATAACCCAAACCTTTTCAGAATATAATTTCTGTTACTAGAAACGTTTTTTTAGAAAGACAAGCCATTTTTGTTTTGACAAGCCAGATTTTAAAAAGACAAGCCATTAAGCTAGCATTTCTCTTGCACTGAAAGCAACTGACTCATACACTTAACAACCATCTTATAACTAGAACTTTAAACATGGCCCTACTTGCCATTTTACACCTTATGATTTCATTCAGGTGAAGTAATTTTGCACAATATAGGGTCAAAACTGTCGTGTTTATTTCCAGCTGAAGTTTGGATACTTCTGACCAAAACTTTTGTATGTTCTGGCCAGTTCCAGTTCTGACTAGAACTTCAAAATTCGGATCCAGTGCACCCTTATATATATATATTATTAGTTGGAACTGAAACTGATATCTCCGCAGCCTGAAGCATAAATCCTGACATTTGCAATGGTTGTTAAACTTAGTATTACTACGTAATGTTCTTATACTAATAGGGCAACGATCAAACTATCGATTGTGTTTGGCTCTAGTGCAATATTAGCACTACAGCAATAGTTTTTGGCTCAATAGCAATGCATTGATCACAATGTAAATCTTCTATAACTATCACTGATAGTTCACTAACAAATTAATAGTTTGCAATAGCTGCAATATCAACACACAAGATCACTTTATTTACTGTTAAAGATCTTTTCGTAAAAAATCGTTTTTTCATGTATATTTGCCTGAAAACCATTACTTAGAGATCTTATACCACAGATTAGTACTCTGTAACAAACCAAGTCATTATTTTCCTTCAGTAGAGTAGGTGTAACCTACCTCCACCTGTCTAACCCTTTGCTCCCGCTACAGGGCTATATGACCCACAGTGATGGGAAATGGCACTGAATTTTTGAAGCCATGCAAGCGTCTATTGTAGCCTGTGATACAATAGAAAAATTTGCTAGCCAGTATAATTACCACTTTGACCTCAGCATGCCACCATCAAATCAAACACAGATCATCGTATTACTGTGTAATCTGGTCAAATTGAGTTATTTATTGATTGCAAACCAACTATAAACATAGATACGCAGCCATGCCTGTTTTATATAGTAGCCATGCTAGTGAGTGAGCTTGCTAAAGATTTACTGCTGTTTCCCATCACTGTGGGTCATATAGCCCTGTAGTGGGAGCAAAGGGGCAACACGGGCAGAGATAGTTATAACACTATTCTGATGTTTGGTTGTATGTTTGGGCCCAATCCTAGGTTAGCACATTTGCGAAAATGAGGGCCAGGGTCCAAAACTAGGATTGAGCGGCACTAGTACTGCCATTACCAGTGCCAATACCAGTGTCAGAGCGGTGCCAGTGCCAGTGGTAGTACTAGTACTACTACTAGTACTAGTACCAACACTACTCAAACTGGACCATGTTCACTTCAGTCTTCAGTGACAGTGTACCACTTTAGCCAAGGATGCCTGTACAATTTGTAAATTGTATTATATATATAGGCAATTTGATGGATACTAAAATAAAGGGAATCAAACCTACTCAAGTGATCGAGTTACCGCCATAATCAGTCTAATCATAGCCAAATTCATATCAATGACATCATCAACACACAACAACATAGCTCCAAGAAACGATCTTTGCTAGGGTTAGAAGACCGTTTCAAATTCTTGCCCATAAAAACTTGTAGTTGGCTCGGTATCCAAACATCGCCACAGCTAGCATCACATGTAATAGCTCTAACGAATCTATAAACCTCTGGCTTGCTCGCCGTAACTGGGCGCTACTTATTTATCGAGTTATGCCGTATTATCTGAGATGAATTGGATGAAAACAACCAGACAGCCGCCATGTCCGCCATGTTCGGTGCGACAAAATCGGCAATGGACCTGATTTTCACAGTGCGTAGGCCTAAACACAAGGCAAGTACATATCTTCGCAATGATTATTATTAAGTTGTTGTAGATTGATGTTTCCTGGTTTTCAATTTTTTAATATTTATATATATATATACGAGTATATGATGCTTATTTATGCTTGCGCCAACGCGAGTTGCAACGCTATGGTATGTTATGTCGTTTCAGGTTTTCCGCTTTCCGATCGAAACGCATGCGCAGTGGAAACATGGTGGTTGGCGGTCAAAGTGAAATTTAGGTTCGGCTCTTGAAATTTACACTGTGCACAGCGAACTGAGGTATTAGATTTACTAACAACACTGGAATACTATAAGGTATAACGTGCACGAGAGACAGAAGGTCAAAGCTGGAATAACTCGATTAGCCAAAGGAGAAGGTATGTTAACAGACAACGACCAAGAAGCAGCATCATTACTGAACAACTATTTCAAGTCGGTGTTTGTAACAGAGCCAGTGGGTAACATCCCGAATTTTGTAGATAGAGTGTAACCTGGTACAAGCTTGGACAGTATTGAGATTACAGCTGCACAAGTGGAAAAGAAGCTGAGAGAACTGAAGCCAGGCAAGTCACCAGGACCTGATGGAATACACCCGAAACTGCTAAAAGAATGTGCTGATGGACTTGCATTGCCACTCACATTAATATTCCTAAAATCCTTACAGGAAGGAACCCTACCAACAAAGTGGTAAAAAGCGCAGGTTTCGCCCATCTTCAAAAAAGGGAGTAGGACGGCTGCTGAGAACTACAGACCAGTTTCACTAACATGTGTCATCGCTATTGCGTGATGAAGTAGTAAAATTCATAGATAAGAACAAATTGTTTACAGAACACCAACATGGATTTACGTCGAGGAGGAGCTGTCTGACTAATCTCCTAGACACATTTGAGGCTTGGAGTAAGGCCATTGACAATGGTAATTGCATCGACACCATCTTTTTAGACTATCAAACAGCATTTGACACGGTTCCGCACATGAGGCTATTGAAGAAATTGAAAGCGTATGGAATAAGAAGAACACTCATAAACTGGATTGAAAGCTTTCTTGTGGGGCGCCAGATGAGGGCGAGCGTTCGAGGACTGTACTCGGAATGGTGCTCAGTAGATAGCAGGGTTCCGCAAGGATCAGTCCTAGGACCACTACTGTTTCTGGTATATGTAAACGATATCCCGGACATAGCAATTTGTGATATGAAAATGTTTGCGGATGATACAAAAATTTGGAAATCTATATCGACAACAACGGACTGCATGCTACTGCAGCATGACCTAAATATGATGTGTGACTGGTCAAGAAATTGGCTATTAAAGTTTTACGTCGGTAAGTGCAAACGGATGCATTTATTTTAGGAGGAAATAACGAACAGTTTGAGTACTCAATGACCGATGAGGCTGGGACAAGAAGAGTGTTAGATGAGATCACTGAAGAAAAAGACCTTGGGATATGGATAAATAGCGACCTGAAACCCACTCTACAGTGTACGAGAGCAGCGAACAAAGCGATGGAGGTACTGAGATCAATCAAGAAAACATTCAAGTACGTAGATAAAAGGTGTTTCCTTATCCTGTACAAGACGTTCATCAGACCCCACCTAGAGTACTGTGTGCAAGCCTGGTCACCCTATTATAAGAAAGATATGGACCTGTCAGAAAAAATGCAAAGGAGGGCAACCAAGCTAGTCCACTCTATACGTAACCTGGAATACGTGAGGAGACTGGAAATCCTAGGTCTATATTCACTAGAACAGAGGAGAGTGAGGGGAGACCTGATCAAAACTTACAAAATTTTAACAGACAAAGAAATAGCAACCAATTTTTCACACCGGCAACTCGGTGCCGCTCAAAGCGCACGATCTGATAAGTTGTGCAAAACCACTTTTCAGCCAAGGGCTACAGACAGAGTGTTTCTTGTTTATTAATTTAAAAGCAAAAGGATTGTAATATCTTATAAACGACATATAGTTTCAGTTATAATATGGATAAATTTGCCCTAAAATGAATATCGTTCGGTTAAATAGCATTTACTATTTAGGTATAAATATAAAATTTTGCACTTTTGTGATTAGCCCTCGGTCTGTAACGTGCAAAATAAACTGTCAAATATGAAACGTTTTCGGGGTGGCAGCACGGTCGCGGGTGTCATGGCGCCGTTCAAATTTCGTAGCGTTGATATGTAATTAATTATAACAATTAAATTAGGTACGGTACCCTATCAGTATCTGGTAACAAATACGTGTGGGTATAGACGATTTGTTATACAGTAAGTACAGTTGTATGCAGTAAAATCCTAGAGGCTACTGTCCCTTTAAATTAGGTATCTGGTAACAAATACGTGTGGGTATAGACGATTTGTTATACAGTAAGTACAGTTGTATGCAGTAAAATCCTAGAGGCTACTGTCCCTTTAAGTTTAAGCTTAACCTAACCTAATCTAAGGTGAAGGTTATACTTGATTAGTTGATACACAACAAGGCAGAAATGCTTAGCCTTAGATGATTATTTTATTTGAGATATACGTAGGCCCTAATTGTTCGGCAGTTTTTGTAGAGGTACAAGATTATCCAATGGATGGATGTCCGGCTGTGTATAGTATACTATATTGAGTAATTGACGTTAGTCACACAGCCTGGTCGGGCTAACAACAAGTGAACAACAGTGATATTCAATGACAATATATGTCAATTTAATAATAATGCGCTTACTGGTACTCTATCCGGATACTTTTTCCTAATTTTCTCGCCTTCTGCCCGTCTTTTCTCAAACGGATGTTCTTCTTTGTACTGCCACTTCATTTTATATTTCTTAACCGTACGTAAGAGTAAAACAGTCAGAAATAGTGCAAGTCAACACCAATATGCAATACTATCTTTCACAACAGATAATGGTTGCGCCTCTGTACGCAACAAATGTACGCTATTCGCATAAAGTAATTCCAAATAGCCTGTAATATAGTGTCAATTACAGTAACACGTGCATGTAATAATGCATTACTTGTGCAAGGTATACTTTTTTAAATTACGGCTGTAATTTCTCATATAATTACATATTTATTGTCATAATACACATAACGTCTACTTATCACGCGTTTAGGCGTAATGATATATAGAAATAATTTTAGAAGGAAGTAGATCTAACCAACGCTATGACGTCATGTACCAACACAAGTCACATGACATAAGACATGTGATCACTCAGAAATCACTACCGGTTCGACTGTCAGCCAATCGGAGGGTCAACAGCCTGACCTTTGACCTTAACCGGAAGCAGAAAAGCTAGCAGGTAAACTCCTGGCAAGAAACAGATGGTAGCAGTGTACTTTGTGTCATTGCAAAATGGAAAATATAAGAGTTCCACCTCTTAAGGTAAATATACCAATTTAACAGTGTTCACGTACCATCAGTGATTGACATTTGAGTCATGTAGTTACAATGTCTATGTGTGTTGAACTTGTAACTTTGTAAATTGTATTATTACTCTTATCTTTGTTTGTCTGAATAAATCAGTTTATAGGTGCGGGCGGACAGCCGGGAACTTTGCCACATCCGGGACTTTCTTAACCTAGCAACCAGCTGTGCCGGTGAAAACAACAGCCGGTCTCCGTGAGCTTACACACGCAATACCCCATTTCCTAACCAAAAGCTGCAGCATACTAATTTCCTTGCATATATGCCGAAAACTTGTGTAGTAGTAGGTTGTCACAATCATATAATATTGCACAAATAAAATTTTTTTTA